TGTTACAAATACATATTAATAACAGTTATGAGATCATATAATTGTGAATGTATATATGAGAAATAAAAATTTTAAAAAAAAGAAATAGATTTTTAGTCAGGTTCCCCATGTCTACTTTATAATTCAGGTGTTCCAAATCCTCAAATATTAAGTGTGAATGGAGGTATCTGTTCCAACTTCATCTACCAAGCACTGCTGCCTTCTACCAGCCAGGAAGGCATGGTGTAGAAAAGTGGAGATAATCCTAATTCCATTAGGTCACAGTTTTTTCCTTATTATCTTATTCCAACTATTTTAGTGCATTTTTAAAAAAAAGGAAAGTCCACTTGTTATTACCCATAATAATACACAGTTTTCATAAAATATTATTTGACTAGGAATGGTCCTTTGAAATTTCTAGGTTGGCTCCACGGGCCGGATTTTAGCACCCCGCAGGCCAGATCTGGCCCGAAGGCCTTGAGTTTGACACCCCTCCTCTACCTTCTTTGATGGATATATCTTTCTTAACTATTTGTCCATTGTAATTACATTAAATTAGAGAAGACTCCATGCTGTTCATTCAAAAACTATTCTTGTGTTAACTCCTGTACAATAGATTTAATATTTTCCTAGATTTTACATCATGAAGGTAAGCCTTCAGCAATGCAACCATTATCCAATAATGTTTATTTATGGGATATATACATGCTATCGACAGTACACTGACAATATTACTGTTGCTGTTACAAGAAATGTAATTTTAGACCTCTTCAGAGATATATCAATTTGCCCTAAACGTGTTTTTATCCATGTATGAGACTGCGTTGCAATTCATCTGTGTGAATCTCTCTCTCAGTCTTTTCCATGTCTTCTTTGAGGGAATGAATAAGGGTATCTACTTTCTCATAGGAAAGTAACATGTGTAGTGTATAAATCGAAGGTGGCAAAATGTGAGTCTGATCTGCTCCTGGAAACAATTTCAGGAGTTGGTAAGTGTGTGAAAAAGGTTGAAAGTGCTCTTTCCTTCCATGTATGAATTTTGCATCCATTTCTTCTCATAATGACTGACATTCTGTGTGGGTTTTTGGTTGAGGGTAATCTTTGAGTCATTTCCTGCTTTCTGTGCAGGTCAAAATATTCTGTGCAAACAGCGTATAAGCAATTGGGCGTCAATATTTTAGAATAGTACCTACAATAGGTTTAGATGGAACGCCAAGCTGGAAAAAGGAAAAGCCTTGTTTTATTTGTGCTGCTCCACACCTGGATGTTAATGGACATCTTTTGGTAAATAATAGGCGTATAATAGGTGTTGAATGTACTAATGGTGTTTAACATGAAAAAAAGAAAGAAAAGAAGGCCCAAACGTCATGGAGCTACTTCTGTAGCAGCTGGAGTAATATTGTACGTCCTTTATCAACATTGTCATTTAACTAGTAGAGGAACATTGGAGTTCAGTTGGGAATAGAGCCATGATCATTAACGAAGCTTTTCCGGATCTCAGTGTATATGTTAGGGGAGTGACATCGCCTGGAGCATTTGCAGGGGGGGGGGGGAGAGGAAGGAAGCAAACATTATATGTAGAGGAAATGAGAGGATGCCTGCATTGCCTTTTTATTTCAATCACTCAAGAATTCTTAAAAAGCAACTGAAGCCAACAGCATGTTGAAACTTGAGGCAGGGTTGATAACAAAAAATTGACACAAGAATAGTTGGAACAGTGGAAATGGCAGTATATATATATTGTTTGTAACAGATTCATAGCACCCACTTTTAGAAATAACTGGGATTGTTATCACTCTCATTCAGACGTCTGAAGAAATTGTGTAGATGCAAGCATACAGTATCACATGCACATGGAAAAGGAGGGATAAAAAATATCATTCCAATAGGTCCAAGAACTAGGCGTTGAGGAGTTGCTCAATAGAATAATGTACCTTTTCACAAGGATCATGGAAAACTGTTTGTGCCTCAGAAAGAATAACAGCATGGCTCAGAGAAAAACTGAATTTTGAATTAATTTTGCCCTCCCCCCTTTTTTTCTCATTCTCCTTTAATTGGTCGGCTATGTAGCGCAGTAGTGCAGAATCTCACAACATAAATGTGTTTATTACCACAAAGGCAAGAGGACAATTCAACATGGGAAAGGAGGGTGAAATTAGATTATATGCTGTGTTGGAGCACAATTGATTTCCACTTAGTTTAATAAATTAAAAACACACAATCATCTGAATTCAGCTCGGCAGGTAAAATTTAGCAAATGTAAAAAAAAAATGAATCAGGAGAGTCAACATTCAGACCAGTATTTAGAAGCACTTCCCTCTCCTCTGTATTTTGTAAATTGGAGTCAACTTATTGTAGTAAATATCTCATTTAAAAATAAAGAAACATGGATGCAATTTTTGCTAGGTATGAAAAGATAGCAGAGCAGTAGCTTCCTTATGCTGTTTTGTTTGATTTAGAGTAGCAAAAGAATAAAGGGGAGATAGGGTTGGGATGGTTGTTTTATTCTATGGAATCTGTTAAACTTCCCTGTGGAAATATTTTCTTCTCACCAGTCGTAGACTATTCACAGGATTGGCCCCTTTTCTGGTGGTTTGAAGCCTGCTGCATTTTGAACCAACTATAACTTCCAGGTGGTAGCTATAGTTCCACGATTATTATTTATTTATTTAGCAGAGCACCCATCTCTCAGTGAGCATGAAACCACTATATGGATCCACCACTATGGTCACCTTCCAGGTCACCTTAACAA